GCTTCCTTTACATTCTTTAAAATGAATGATTCAAAGTGTTTTGTGAGTATGCTATCTGAAATTATCACTGTTTATGCATTAGTAAACCGGAAGTTTCTTAGAAGGCGGGAGTACAGGAGTGCACATGTCATATGCCATCAGAACAATGATGTCATCATGATCCACACACCTTCAGGAAATCTCAAGAGTATATGTTTTTAAAGGAGAAAAAGAAGTCAAATAAAATGTAAGTATGACTATGAAAATGTTTTTTCTCTTTGCAGAACTCTGAAGAGGTCTCATAGCTCATGAGTTCCTAGAACCACACTTAAGAGAGCACTGGTTGGAGAACATTCTCAGCTCTACACAACAAATGAACTGTAAATTTCACAAGACAGATGCTGTTAGTTGGAAGATTTATTTGTCCGTCCTAAAGACAGTTTTCAATATGAAATGGATTGTCATTAACATTACTCCATTTAAACTTTTGAATAATATAGGCCAAAATTTTAGCGTCATTTGGCCTCTACTTACTCTTATGAAGATATTCATTAACATTAAAGTTAAGTTTCTTTTAATAATGTCAATAGGACATACCAAGACATGAATAATTTCATTATCTATTAATTTTACAGACTCTTGGGCTAGAAATGTAGCCCAAGAGTAGAGCACTTACCTAGCTGGGACATACAAAGCACTAAGCTCAAGCTCTACCACAGAGGGAGAAAAAAAGAAAGAAAAAAGACTTATAGTAATCTGCCATGATGAAATATAGACATAACTATACCCACCCCCAAAATAAATGGAGTTCAGTTGCTTCAGCATAAGACAACTAATTATCTGTTTTTTACATTTTTTTGTCAATGAATGAGTACATTTCACAATCTTAAGAAAAACATTATAATTAGTTATTTAATCCAGGTCAGGAAAATTATTCGACACATTCTGAGGTGGGAAGGGGACTGCACAGCATACAAATGATTAATATTAACTAGAGACAAGTTCACACTAGTTTGTCAAATGTATATTAGCATCAGTGTCAAGTTCACAATGAATGAAATACTGGAGTTTAACCTGCAAGAATAAAAATTTTACAACCGTGTGCATGCACACATAGTGATTGTGCATATGTGTGTATGAGTGAGATACAGCAAAAAAAAAAAAAATTCTTCAAATGCCCTTCTATTTGAGTGCTTTTGTTTTTATTATAAACTAAGGCATTCATTAAGCAAATTCATTTGAATGAAATAAAAGGACACAAATGCAACAATGATCTGAGAATACACATGCCCTAAAAGGCAAACAAGGGTAAGTTACAAAGCAGCTTCAGTCCACCCTAAGTGAGCAAATGCATGTTTTGCATGTAATGCAAATCTAAGGAATCAAAGGCAAAAGAGCCATTTGTGGAACTTAGGGAAAGCCAGCTGCCTTTCCTCCCAACCACTCTCGGCCCCACTCACACCGGGGTAAACTAAAGCATCTCATATTTCTCACAATCAGTGCATGATCCTAAATACAAAAATCACACTCCGTTTCCTCGCTGATTTCCGAAGCAAAAGGCCCTGTTTTTTTTAACAGTAACAGTCCTTTTCATTTGGCAGCCCTTTTCCAAGAGTTTCCACCAAACTGTAAAGGGGCCAGAACAAATCTGAAAAACAATTCAGTTTTGCATTATGATTTGACGAACCTCAACCATTGTGATCCTCTAATCTTTTTAAATCTACTACTTATGATTTCCTTGGCTATAGCTCTTTGTGAATCAAAGGTAAATTAAGTCCATAAAAGTGTTGCCTGTTGCTGAATACTAGAAACAATGCCAGGAGCAGGAGCTGGAGCCAGTAAGTCCCACACTGGCCATTATTCCCTGGGGGGAAGGGGGATCTGCAAACTGCAAGGAGAATATTATTAAGAAAATTACTTGAGAAAACTTTCCATTCATATTTTTGAGCAGGCAGAGCTCTCAATCTGAAGTATAATCATCACACTACGCATCCTAAACTGAGACATCAAAATCATTTGCCCAGCTGACACATCACAGGCTGGCTTATCACTCTTTTGGCCAGGGATGACTGATGCAGCCTAGCATCTCTACCTCAAAAAATTAAATCGTTCACATAAACCTTTGTCCTCATCATTCCTCCTACTCCAGGTTTACAGAAGTAGTCCACTCAACCATGCACCCCGGAGCAGCAGATTGCTGAGTATTCAGTGATTAAACAAGTGCTATGGAATGGCATTCAAATACTCTTGACATATTCACCTTTAGACAGCACAATACATTGACAGACTCAGTCTGAATGACATCAGGACCTGTGGAATGTATGACTGCTAAGAAACACATGCTGCTAAGAAACAGAGAACAGATCTGATGGGATCTTCCAGCACAAAGCCTGCAGAGCACTTTGGTGAGAGCTGCTGGAAGGGGAGGGAAGCACTCTTCAATCCTCAGAAATGTTTGCAAGTACGGGGAGACTTTCACACAAACCCTCCAGAAAGGAAAAAAAAAAAAAAAAAACATAGGACACAAAATTCTAGGGGGTTAGGCCATAACTCTCTAAGTTCCTTATTATGGTCAGGGTCACTTACAATATCTCTCATAAAACATAACTTATTCAAAATTAGGCATCAATGGATGATTCAGTACTTGTGCTTTGGAACCTTTGCTTTGTGAAGTGATCAAAACCTTAATAAAGGTGTACTTAAAAAATAAAATATTCATTTACAAAGACGTATTCTTTAAAATAAACTAGATCCTAGCCATTTTCAACAAACATCAAAGTAGTCAGGAGTAATATACAACTAGGTCATGCAATATGTTTTAATTATTGTATTTTAAAAGTAGTCGTCTTTGCAAGCATAAGTCTATTAAAATGTGTTTATCTCTGTACATCTGGTACCCACCCTCCCATTACTTAAAGAGAGAATAAGAAAACACACAAAAAACAAAGCTGAGAGATATTTCAGCACAAACATCCTCTCCATTCCTAAAGAAATTATCTGATATCCTCTGTGGGTGATACTGGAAAACAACTGGTCATTCTACTCATAATCCCAATACAGATAAATTGGGCGCCAGAACTGCTGATCACTTAGTACTATTACAGACTGAAAAAAAAAAGATGAATTAGCAAACTGGCTAACCTCTGCTATCTCGTAGGCAAATGCAGCTGACTTTCCAAACACAAAATCACTCAAGTGTTTCCTCGCAGGTTCTACGATGGCATTCTTTAACTAGCGACGACAGCCCATATGACACCAACATAAGCGGACCTCCTATTTACTTCAGAGCAAAGCACAGGAGGCATTTTTTTTCCTTCCTGTCTCCCCATTTCCCCGGCAGCTGGCTGCAAAGATGTAAAATCAGAGGGGCAAGCAGCTTTATACTTCCTAATGAGTAATTCGCCCAGGAAAGTAAACACACCAGACACCACCAGCAGGTTAGGCTCTGAGGGAGACAGTAGCAAAGATGCTTACACTGTTGTTTACAATGTTCTCTAACTACTGCAGTCAGGGACCACAGGAGCCTCCGGGAGGAGACACCCGGGAGGTGGCTCCCAAGCCTCCAGTTCGCCCAAGTGCTCTATCGCTGGTCATCAATAAAAGCAACACACGTTTCCATCCGGGCGGAGAAAGTGGCCAGATAATTCCAAAGACCAAGGATTCTGCAGGACACACTTGATTACTGCAAATCTGCAAGAGGTGACTTGCTCCAGCAGGTCCTCCTCAAGGCCAATCTGGAGTATAGGGAGCGCTGCACCAGCGACTCCAAGCATTGCACACATCTCCAGGGAAGAGGGAACCTGCCGCCAGGCTTCCTCGCAACCCTACCAGGGGCCCTCTGGGCCTCCTCAAACCAGATTTTCCAGCTAAGCTGATCCCAAGCGATTTCTATGAACAAGCTCCACTCAAGTAGCTCCAGGTCTCCCATCCCTGCGAAGGTCTCCTCCCGCCACCCCAAACGCGCAGGCTCCTATACACACAGATAACATGCACGCCGACCCCTGGCCACTACCCCTACAAACACAGGGCTGCACTGCTGGACATCTGGTATGCTCAGCCGCCACCTCCCGGGTAGAACCAGAGGCTGGGTAGTGCTGCTCCCCAAGCTCCGCTTCAGCCCAGAGACTGTCCATCTCCCAAGCGAAGCACCGAGATGCCCACTCCTCTACCTGTAACCCGCCACTAGGGCCACCACTACTCTGCCCACCGCACCCTGGCGCCTCGGACGCCCTGACCATTGAACACCCTCTCTACAGTGGGTGCTCACTCCCAGCAGAGCTCAACCCCCGTGCCAGCCCCAAAAGTGGTAGCTTTCTCCAACCACAATCGCCCAACAAAGCCTAGGCACTCAGGTCCAAACCAAACTGCCGTGAAGGGGACACACAAGAGGGGAGACGCAAAAGGAGGCAAACGCGGTTCCACTTCTCCCGGGCGCGACCTGGGCAAGCTCGGCCACCTTGGATGCTCCCAGGCAGGCGTCCAGGGAGGATCACACCAGGCTCACCACCCTGCAATTCGCCATCACCCCAGACTGAGCTCCTCACCGGGTCCCTGTTCGTCCTCCAACCCGTTCCCACCTCCAGCGTTACTCCAGCCTAGCGGAGAAAAGGCGCCCCCTTGGCTGATTTCTGCCCCTACCAAAGGACAACACTGGGGGGACGAGGGAGGGAAAATGTTCCGGGTGGGATTCGTTCCTGTCACCCGGCGAGTGCGACTGCCAGTGCGCGGGTTTTCCCTCTCCCCTACATCTCCCTCGGTCACCACATCGCCCAGGAGCTGGTAGAACCTCGAACCCGTGCCAACCCCCAGCGCCCACCAGCCAGGAGGCTCCCTTCCCGCTCCACATCACGATGAGATGATGTGTGCGCGTGAGGGCGAGTGTGCGAAGGCGAATGTGTGAGTGGAAGGGTGAGTGTACGTGAACCCCGCACCCCCCTCGGTTGGTTGCCCGCCCAGCGGATGCCGCCGCCTGCGCCCGAGCAGGGCGACCACTGTTAGGAAGAGTGCAAAGAATAAATTACCTTTCGTAACCGCCGGTCCCTGAGATGGTCCCATCAGTTGCTCAACAACCTGCAACCCGGTGCAGTTTTCCACAATCCATCCATTGAGCCCCGGGGCAAAAAAAAGAAAAAAAAAAAAAAAAGAAAGAAAGAAAAAAAGCTGGACCGGCCCCAGTGTAGACACCCCAGCCACACCAAGCAAAAAAAAAAATGATGATCAAAACGCAAGAGACGGCAGGAGGGTGGAGACCCCAGTCCAAGAAACAACAAAAAGTGTCTCTTTCCTTTCTTCTTCTACACAGCCATGGAGAAAGGGGAAGCCGGGAAAACCAAATGCTAGTCCTCCTTTACGTTTCCTCGCTTCACACGCCCCGGGGGGGGGGGGGGAGGCAAAAGCGGAGCAAAGAGAAGGAGGGTTCAAATGTCTCTCCCAGGGCACAGTTGCACAACTTCGGAGTCAGGCTGTGTCTTCGGCTGCAGCCCGCGGACCCGAGCGGGAGCTATTAACATGCGGCAGTCATAGCTGGGGCTGCCTTGCCTTCTCTGCCGCTGCCGCCGCCGCCGCCGCCGCCGCAAGAAAAGCCGCTGCTGAGGAGACCAAAAATCTTCCACCATCCCCCCCCAAGCCGATCTTTATATCCAGTTCTCCCACCCCACCCCCCGTCTCTTTCTTTTTCTTCTTCTTCCTCGTCCTCCCCTTTCCGCCTCCGAGCGGGAGGGAGGGGATAGGTAGGGGCAGCGGCGAGGACCAGCAGTGGCTTCTCCGCCCAGCCCTCTTCGCCGTCCTCCTCCTGCTGGCCCCCGAGGTGCTCCGGCTGGCGAGGGTCCGCTCCGCCGCCCGCAACCCGCTCCGAGAGAGAGAGCCCAGGAGCCAGCCGCGCAAACTCCTTCCCCGGTGCACGGCGTGGAGGCGCGGGCAGAGCGGGCGCCGGGCCCCGCTGGAGGGCTGCGTGCCTGCCGGGGGTGGCGAGCCCCGAGCTCCGGTGGTGGCCGATCAGCTCGCCGGCGGGGCCGGGTAGCTGCGGGCATGCGGGAGCTTCATCGCGGGGCCCGGGCTCCGAGCCGCCGCCGTCACCGCCAACCGCCGGGGGCCGCCGGCTTCGGTGCTTTTTTTTTTTTTTCCTCCTCTCCTCTCTCTCTCTCTCTCTCTTCTGGACTCCCCCCACCCCCCGGAGCCACGGAGAGGCTCGGGGCGCCCTCCAGACACGCACACGCTTGTCCCCCCGCGGCGCGCACACCACACACGGGCGAGCTCCTGCCCACAGCACACACCGTGCAGCCCGCGCGCGCACACCCGGGAGGAAGAGGACCGAGGCCAACCAAATAAATAAATAAATAAAAGAGAGAGAGAGAGAGAAGAAAGAG